GTCCTGAAGACCTTGTTTTGAAACTTGGTCATTTTCTGATAGTCCGCACTTGTTTAGGCTTGTTACGTGAATAGAATTTTTGTATGCTCTTTTGCCACAATGTTGAAATCTGGGGAGTTGTAGAGATCTTTTGTTATTGATCCTGTTGGTCTCTACCACATAGCCGGTTGAGAATTTGCTCTGTTTGTCTCATGACCAGTGGAGGATGGGTAAACCCTCTACTTTGCAAGAGATTCAAGGTTATTTTAGCAAATGTTGTGTGTTTTTCTAGATGCGTTTTAGGAGCTGGATTACTTGGTAATTCCGTTGCTCCTTATCTTTCTGAAAGTCTTATAGTGAAGTTTCACTTTTTCCATTTGGAGCTTCATGGTCCTTTCATGTGGCTCATTTTTCTATATTGGTTAATCAAGAGCAGTGATCATTCAATTGAAATTGTTGTCTTTTTGTGAAGATTGGCAAGTTGTCATAAAGTTAAACTCTTTATTGTTGCTAATCTTTACATTCTTGATACTTGGAAATTGCTTAAAACTCCTAAAATCCGTCTTGAATCTTTCTTGATATTGCTTTGTACTTGTTCTTGAAACTGAAATCCAGAAATGGATAATGATTATTGAAATCCTCATTATCTTGATAATTGTTTGAAATTAATTCTTGCATTGTTCTTGGAATCTAGTTTGAATTGTCCTTGAAAACGTTCTTGTTCTGACACTGGTTTTTGTTCAAATTCTGTATACTGCTCTTGCTAAAATCCTGCATGTTCTGTTAGCTCTTGTGTCAGTATACCTAATGATCTTCTTGATTCTTGGTTTTTGTTCATATGGACACCTCTTTAGGAAGGGTGACGAAAATACCTATATGAGGTATCTTGATTCTTGCCTCTTGCAAGTGTTAATCTCTGTATTCTTGACGTCCTAGCTTTGACTTGACTCTAGGATGTCTAGGCTAAGCAGATTATAGCCTCCATGAGCTACGAGGTGAAGGGGTAATCTTTGAAATACTTGATGCCCTAGAGTTTTGTTCCAAGAGAAATGGTTCTTTTGTCTGGTTGTTTTGATTTTTGTTTGCCCTTTTAATTAGAAGACATGAATCTTCTAAGCATCTTGATCCCAGCCATTGCTTGTTCTGTTGATTAATTCTAGTACTTGAGGTGCTAGATCTTGATATCCTAGTTATATCTGCTCTTGAATCCGTGTTCTGATTGTCATTATTGGAATCTCTTTTGTGGGCCTAATTTTTGGAATTCTATTGCTTGTTTGATGGTTAACTCTTGTCTCTCAATTTTGACTGCTTGGTTAAATGTGATCTTATTCTTGGTGAATGCCGTTTTGTTGCTGAATTTTTGAGGCATTCTACTTTGCACTCTTATGTTCCAGTATTCTTCCAAGCATTCATATTTTCCATTGATTTTATTCTGTTGCAATTCTTGAGATTCTTACATGTCTTTTGATGGGTCCAGCTTTTAACTCTTGTTAACTGCTAAAATCTGTTTCTTGATTCCAATTGCTTTGTTAAACATGAGCATGTTTATTGGTTAACCTTGTTGTGGCAGAATGTATAAGGCATCCATGCACTTGTTCATTCATTCATGATTCATATATTTATTGGATGCTTATCCGTCTTTGATAAGAGTTTAAAATTTTGTTGTGCTCGTCATTAAATCCATGCCATTCTTTGCCGACTCGTCTTGTGATGGGTTCGAAGCGTAACCCCACAATTGTTCTTTTGTGGCTTTGGTAGGATTTATTTTTGTTCCTTGTGCTTTCCATATCACCCTAGCCTCTAGTAGCTCATTTAATGGTAAATCCTGTTAAGTAATTAGTGTTCTGCTTTTAAGATTAGTCGTGATTTGTTTTCAGAGTGGCGCAGCGGAAGCGTAATAGGTCATGTTCTGTTCCTAGAAAGTGATGAGGCATTTGTTTTGCCTTGGATTGTGTGAAGCCATTCACCACTTGATATGGTCCTCAATTTGAGTTTTGGGGACAAAACTCCTTTTTAGGAGGGGTGAGTGTAATATCCCAAATTTTTGGGAATATTTAAGTGTAAGTTAAGGACTTAATTGTGAGAAAATATTGTTTTGGGCTTAATAGCCAACATTCTGAAA